AGGTAAAAAGAAAATAATCTCACAGCAAATATTCAAGTAATTCGGGGGTCAAATTTAATGGATTAACAGTAATAGGAAATCTTTTTAAGTTAATTATAAAGTCCTCTTCTACCATAGTAGTGTGGACTTATCGGGTAGGTAATTTAGTTTATCTAAAATTTCGTTTACTTTATTTAAGTCAGAAAAATATTTTTAGTAAGAAAAGTTTTGGGCTAACCTAACCTATATATATTTTTTTAAGAGATATACTTAAAAATATTTTTTTTAATTGGATGGATATTTTTTTATTTCAAGTTTTATATTAAAAATTAGCGTTAAATAAAATCGAAAAATAAGACTTAAATTTATAACTAGATTTATAATGCAATGAACGAACGAAAAGAGGAACACTATTTAAACAATTTCAATTTATCTAAATTTATGGCAAATATATATGGCATACTAAGGCTGTGTGAAAAATTTCATGACCCAATATAAACAAATCTCAGAATGGTTACAAGCTCCTCGGGGAGGTATGCAGATCTGATAATCCAGTCAAGGCGCAAAGAGGGGTTTTGAAGAAAGCTCGCAGGTAATAGAGAGTAAAAGTGCTCAGGTGCACTGACTCAACTAGCCTCAACATAATAATACAAACAAATATTAGATACTTTATAAAATGCACCTTACTGATTTTGGCATATACGTACGGTAAGTAAAAAGCTAGCGCCCAAATATGAATAGATACTATAAATATACCCTAGACGTGCATCTAGAAGTATTGGGTAATCGCTCAGCGCATGTTGGGTGGTGCGTTTGACCAACAGGTTTATTTATGCCTTGTCGCAATCTACTGAAAACTTTATAAATAAGTAAGTTAAAATAGGTACGATACCTAAATAGAGCCAACAAAATTTTTAACCAAAAGAAGCATCATATTGAAACGAGGACTAGGTAAAATTATATTGCTTATGATGACGGTGATGATAATGATGTATATCAATGAACAAATAAATTTTTTTTTTTGAGACTGTAATTTATAATAGTGTCATCTGCTAAGTTCTAATAATATAATATTTTACAGGGAATACTACGTATAACGATTTAGGGTGTTTATTATGCCAATAATACAATAAACGTCAATTTATACTTAAATAAGGATTTGCTATTAAAATGATAGTATAAAATATAACAGAAATAAACAGGTTGTCGTCTCCTAACGTAGTGGAGCACTGCGACCATAGTTGATCTTTTGTGCTGCTACAGACCCTAACCGAACAGAAGACATTCTACACTTTGAATGAAAGCCAAAATGTCAGCCGTTGAGGACCTAGTAATGCCAGAAGGGGAAGGTATTTCGCGATTCCTTATCCAGTAATTTTAAAAGTATTTTAATTTCAAGTCTTACTTTAGTGTTCATTATCGAATGCTCAATGGTTACTAAACCTAAGTGTGCATTATAAAAATGGGTCTAAAAGTAACTTTTCTTATTATTGTACACATACTACTGAAATTTAATTAATAAAAATGAATCGCAGATTAAAATATTGACAGGTAAAATAAAAATATATTAAAGCTCTAATATCTAGTGAGACTCCTTACCAATTACTAGCTCTGTTTATATATGTGTATTAATCTCTCAAGCCATATGTGTGAAAATGCATTTAATTATTCGAGTTGAACTCATAAATTATCTTAGATTTGCTTAATGAAGTTCGATTTGTTTAAACTTTAAAGTGATAAGCATATAGGTTTGATTTTAATAGTATTGAGAAGTAAAATGATTTAATTGAGTTCAGAAGTCAATTAATTATAATTTCAATAGGAATCTCCTATAATCTAAATTGCATGAAATTATTAATAAACATGTTGATTGCATTGCTCAGCGTTGTGTTTGTTTTTTGTTGTTGATTTTTTTAGAAAATAAAAATGCAATTAAGTTTCGTGCTTATTGTGGAGCTACTGAAGAATCATCTTCGTGGTTTACGTGTTTATATTCTAGCATTAAAAAACCATTTAAGCAAGTACATTTGTTAGACTTTTACGAGTACATTAAGCATAGAAGCATTAGCCACTCTTCACAATTAGACACACCTCAAACAAACAGCAGAATAATGGCCTAAGAAGAACGGCACTAACATCAAATAACAGACAACGGGCAACAGGCAACGGGCAACAGGCAACAAACCGATTGACTAGCTAACTAAGCCAACTAAGTTCCAACAAACGGTTCAGCCAGCCAGCCATTAGAATGTAACAACAAAATGCAGTTTAAATGCTTAATACACGTTAAGTGCTTTTGCGATGCCCTTGTCAGATTGTAATAACTTCATCATCAGCTCCATTTCGGATGCAGCATGCACTCCGCTACAATTGCCCCGCCAGTTCTAACAGTAGAAAGAGCTTAGCTGGCATTATTCGTAAATGGAGAGCAATTCATGTTAATATTTTAGTATAAAAAGGCGCAAAAATTGTGGCATTAACGTTAAGTGCGTTTGTGTGTATTCATGCTCGGCTACGGCAGTGTGAGTATGTGGCGCTGTATCTGCACGCCTAACAACTCATACCGTTTTTATCTGAGAAATTGCGGTTTTATCATGGCAGATTGTGGTTTCGGCTTAAGTAGCTTAAGGTAGTGTGATTCAGCAGCTCATTGAAGTACAAATGCTTTAGAGAAAATATTTTTCAAAATAATTTATGAATTCAGTTTGAGATTTTCATGGTTACACGAAAGTTTTTCTGTGTACTTCAGATACATATTTGCATGTTATGCACAAAAGAGTTTGTAAGGTTTATGGTATGAATTCAAATTAAATCTGAATCTGAAAAAGTGGATTAATTATTTTATTGTAGGATATAAACTTATATTCCGATACTGAGAGGTTGAAAGGTACATAAAAAAATTCATTTTATTCGATTTTAGTTAAGAGTTCATACTTTCAAAATTTCATTAATTATTATAAAAAATATTTTCTTCAAAGCGGTATAATAAAATACTAAAATACGGATATATACAAAAATTTAAGGGACTTAATTATGAAAAATGTATTTGAATCCAAATGAAACACGAAAGTGACTTCGGAAGTACATTCTAGAGCACGAATTATTAACCAATTAATCGAATATTTGAGAACATATTTCTGAAGAGGGAGCTCTGACGAAAATAAAACCAATTAACCAACACAAGTTACAAGTGGTATCGTCACTATGGGATTTTAAGAGCTTAAGTCAACTATTCACATATACTAATGACAATATACATTTATGAAAATAGTATTGTAATGCCAAAAATGTACCTTCTGCTCAAAAAGTATTTTGTTTTTGTTAACTACTCCTTAAGTAATAGACCTTTTTCAACCATTTTTTTTTTATGTTGGTACACCTTCTCTTGACATATGGTACAAATTTGAGCGCCATCTGTCAATTAGTTTGTTTACAGCAGCTGTTAATGTGAGACTACCTCAAGTAGATTTAGCAATTTTTATTATGGAAAATTCTTATTGTAAGCGATTTTAGCCCAGGCACCATTTTCGCCCGATCTGGCGCCGTGCGATTTTTTCCTGTTCCCGAAGCTCAAATTGTCCCTTCGTGGTAAGCGTTTTGAGTTGATTGAATCGGTAAAAGAGAATTCGCCGAAGGAACTAAAAGCCATACCT